CTTATAAGAAAAGGGTGGTAAAGAGAAAGGGACTTAAATTAGGCCTTAAATTGTTGAGAGAATTTTGCCATAGCTTTTTGATTAAGTTAATAGTAGCCTAATAATTATATATTTATACTGGATGATGAGAGTTTTTATGTTAAGGGTTCTTATAAGAGTATTATTATTAAACTTAAAATGAATTATAAATTCCTATAAATACAGTGGCTTAATTCACCTTTGATGTGGCATTCCTTCAGAATACTTATTGTGAAGACAGGAACTGAGGCATTGCAGTACTGGTACTGATGTAAAATTTTCAGAAGCTATCATCTCCAAGCCATGTCGTTGTCGCTGCTTCTCTTTCTTTATTATTTCGAAAAGTTCGGGGTCCGTATCCCACAAATTACCATTAAGAAGACTGTTCATAATTGCTGATTTATGTAGAAACTTCTTTGATATAAAAGTCTGAAATTAACTGTAATTGTTACTTAAAGTATTAATTGTATTCAACTGGCGAACGTGTGCCGACTACGATGCAAATAATTGTTAAGGTCTTTTAATACAAAGATCGCGGTCGAATTGACCTCACAATGTTATCGTCATAACGCAATCACAAACAAATGTTGATTCTTATTTGTTTCGACAGTACGATAACATCGGTTCTATATCGTCACTACATGCGTAAGATTCACTAGTTTCCCAGTAATTCTTATGTTATTAACACATCGTACGTGATATTACTTACTTCTATTTAAAGTTACTTAAGTTAACCTCTTTATGACATGTGTTTGAATTTAAATAAGAGCCAATAAGTGTACAAAAACTTTATTGTCCCTTATTGGTCAAATTAAAACATGAACATACCTTAAAGTTTATATTCCTCTGTGCTGAAATTTTGCTGTTCTCTATCAGTGACCCAGAAGTTGGACATAATTTTGAAAACGCTGTACTATAACACTGTTTGAGTAATTTACCATTCATTTTTGATATAAAATCGAGCTGTAAGTCTTCGAAACTCTGTTTAATAAAGAAGTGTTTTTATATTAACATGAACGAAATTAATCAATACTGATAACCCATTATGAACTTTATAATCGTATACCTTGACGTTTGAAGGTTTATAAATAACAGAGTTGCCAACCTGACCCTTCTTGTCGATAAAGTTGTTAGTGTTGTTAATTGGAGCAATACATTGTCATATTTTATTCTTGTTTCCATTCGATTATTTTCAAAAACTCAAAAAGATGAAAATTACACACGATTGCACATAAATTGTGTGCGTCAAAATTTAAGAACTGGAAATATTTTATTAAAAATGCCTCTATTAATTAGACGATCTATACAAATATTATAAAGAGGAAAGATTTGTATTTTTGTATTGAAGTAGTAATCCAAGAGTTAATGGACCGATTTCAAAAATTCTTTCACCATTAAAAAGCTACGTTATCAGTGTTTATTTATTTTTTCCTGCGTCGAAATAGCAACAACAGCTAGTTAATTCATATAGATAATAAATTTCTTATAGGTATTATGTAGAAGTTATGAGTGCGACCACTGATAAATTAAAACATTAGAGATAAAAAGCAGCTCATTTCAATGGGATCCGGGATCTCTGATAAATATGAAAACTTGCCATGTATAGTGATGGCCGAACGGAATGAAGGTTTATTATCTAGTATAAAAATGTAGTTATTTGTAATCGCCAACACTTTAGCAGCCAGCTGCTTTTGTTTCTATGCCACTTGGTTTTAATTTTAAATACTTCTTATTTCCGGACACTATACCTAATGTTTATTGCTAGTTGCATATTACATTCTATGGAATATATTAAAAAGTTACTTATACATTTTTTTTACTATAAGAAATGTCTTACGCTTTAAATGGAGTATTCTCGCTTACCTATGCACTCGCGGATGTTAAAGTAACTTAACTAGTTATGAACGTCGAAGCACAATGGTTTGTTTGAATTAACAGTCTATACTAGACATTCTTATCGATTATTATGCTGACATTAATAGTGACTTATTGGCTAATACAATGACAATCGGTCCCTTCACACCAAGTTATGATAAGTAAACCTTGTTTAAAAAATAAGGGCAAAATATATAAGTAGTACTAAAGTGTGATATGTTTCTAATATAATTGCTGTTTGGTCCAATTTCGTATCGGGATTTAAAGATAATCTCTCAATTTCAGATGTCATACATAATTTAAAAGTCAATATTAGAAAACTGATACAGAAAATCTTTTGCCAAAAAAAATGTAAGCAACAATATTACTTGACTACACAAAATAAGGCGTCCGAATTGTAGTGCAAAAATATTTTTTTTACCATAATTATTTTATTCTAACTGCAACATCGTAACTGTTTGTAATTCACAATGGAAAGTAAGCAGTAAGAAAGGCTAGTACGACACCGAGGAGCCATTAGCTCGTAGAGATGTGGCCTTTAGTATAATCCAAGAATTCCCTTGAGTACGTACACAATTGCAAGACTGCAAGATTCTTTTGTCGAGAAATATTTGCTAAACGGACTTGAACAATTTTCTGAAATAGCTTTTAAATTCATGAAAAGTTTTTTTTTATTTCTATAAAGAACTTGTATCGACACAATTCATGTTCAAGGAATGATCAATCTGAAGTTATTATTATTTTTTAACATTGTACAGGTAGCGTATTGGTTTAGAAATAATGATTCCGCATCTATATGCGAACTTGTAATAATATGGTAAAGCAAAAATATTTACGAAACCATAATTGTTGTTGCAATAAAACAATCTACACAATAGGCGTTAATCGCATTATGTAGATTGAATGATATAATTACGCTGATTGAATACTAAACAAATTAAATCGTGTACATAATTACTAAATACATACATAAATACAATGGAAGTGTCAACCAATTATTCGGTATTTAACAAAAGCTCTACATTTTAAATTGTAATTTATAATTTGTACCATGCACATATTGTTTACAAAGTATAATTTTCTGTTTAATATCTGTGATAAGAAGACTGTATATACAGAGAAATAATGTTGGAAACAGCATAATAATTAATGACCGTGTATTACGAAAGATGAAACTTTCTTCGAAAGATAGTTTCTGATTGATTGGATAATTAAATGTCTAAAGGGAAAACAGCCTTATAGATAACTAAATATTATTACTTCATATTAAAATGTAGTCGTCTAAAGATATTATATCATATTAAGATGGATGGATGTCTGTTGATGTTTTTACCCTAAACTGATGAACGAATCTCGATGACGTTTAGTATAGATGTAGAGGATAGTCTGGAAGAACACATAGGTTACTTATGGGGTTTTTGTTTTGGTTAAGAAAATGATATGAAATACAAAGCATCTGTAGTTCGTCTGATGTTGCGGTTGTCTGTGGGCGTCGGTGACCACCTCCGTGTTGCCGCCGCTCTTTTGCCCCCTTTTCTTATATGAAAAAAATGACATAAACAATGTGTTTTTATAGGATTGTAACTGTGTGAATTCCATAGAAATATAACTACAAAGGTTGGCGAGTGATGACATAGTAACACGTTGTGTTAGAAATATAATAAAGTCGGGCCACTGTACGTCAGCCTCCCTTCTATTAAACACATCGTCCTCATTCTATTCACTACTTATGAATTGGTTCAAGGGAATTGTTATCTCTAACATAAAGTAAACATACTCAATATGATCATAACTTATTCAAGCGAACAAGTATATTTATCTACATCTAATGTAGAGTATGTTTAAACCTAAAATATTAAACAGACTTTAGTGATATATTCTCTTTATAATTTAATCTAGTAATTGAAATGTCTAGAAAAAGAACAGCTAAAGCTTTGAAGTTTTAAATTCAAATATATTAAAATACATAATATGAGAACTTTAACAATTCATGAGCACATAAATTGGATAAACAAAACAAAATGTACGAATTAAAGAACACATTTGGAATCGCACATTTGTTATTTGTTCTTTATTAAAACATGGTTTTATATTTACTTATGTATAGCTGTCTAAACAACAACTACATTCTACGGATTTAAAGCGAACACGATTGTATATATTTAATTAACACTATTAAACAGAATGGTATATTAACTATAACTGTCAAAGTGTAATGAAAGGGCAATTAATCAGTGCTAGACTATACGTAGTTAAGGGTAAATGAAACAATAACATAGCTCCGATAGTACTAAAGTTTGACGCACTCCGTAATGAAGGTCATTAGAATTAAAATCTATTTACTGTGGGTTTTGACTGCAGTGACATATGTTTTAACACATATTGTCACATCTTATACACTCGGTAAAAAACGACAATATCATTAGAGTCAGTCGAAACTCATCGTTAGATTCAAAAAATAAAAACGTTATTAGCTTTCGCCCGCGACTCCGCTCGCGTAGAATTAATAAAACTTAAGTGAGTAGTCTATGTTTGTGTTCTTCTAAACTATCCTCTACGTCTATGCTAAATTCCATCGAGATCTGTTCGGCCGTTTAAGCTACAAACTATACAAACATCTATCCATCTAAACTTTCGTATTTATAATATTAGTAATCAGCGAAGTGTATGTTGTATGTGATACAAAATAGTATGGTTTTATTTATTTGTAGTTTTAAAAGTACTCTAACAACAACATTTCTTTTATCTTTACAAGAAACGCTGTTTGTTTTCATTTATTGTTCGTTTTTCGTTTTCTCAATCCGAGTTAATAAGTAGGAGAGTTTTTAAGGCGGCCCAAATTGTTTTATGGTCTTTGTTTTTCCAACGAAGAATTCTTTTTTTCGGTTTACTTGCCTTCTACTGATAACTTTGAATTGTATTTCATTAACAAAAAGAAAACAGGAAACAAATAAATTAATGAAGTGTACTGTGATAAATTGGCACAATATACCGTGCACATATTGTAACAACTTAATTAATTTGTTCTGGCTTCTGAAATCCGAGCCTTAACTAGAATTTAGCTAGCTTATATGTTCCGATATCGGTGACATTTAACAATTGCAATAGCTTTGTTTATTTTCATTATAAAATTTGCGAATATCATACGGATGACAGAATTATAAGCCTGTGCATAACATGACTTGGAAGTACCTATAGTACCTGATACACAGAGCACGTTGTCTATTTGCACAGAGTACAAACAGTTCAATTATTACTGTTTCAATTGCCGCAGTAATTACAGAACCTAAACAAAGGTACTTATGAGTAAGCTGCATAAAAAAAAAACAACAGATGTTTAGTTTAATAGAATTAAAAATAAATTTCGCGTCACGAATCTTTGTACAGTTTAATTTGAATTAAATGTAAATGATATTCTCATTATTCGTAATTAACTTTAGTGTACGTCATCAAAGAAGAGTTAGAATGAGCACTTAATGCGTGTTAATTGGAATTTGATTACACTCTGCGTTAATAAAGTGTAAATTATTAATGAATATGCTTACATTACAAATAAAGATAAACGACATTATTTAATTTTATGGTCGAGTGTTACATTTTAACATTTGGCAGTTTGTAGGCTTCGTTAAAATAAAGATACTAGTGAAAGTTCTAAGCAAAACCCCTAGGTGTAGCGACTTTCTCATGTTTTCTTCATACATCTTTACCGCTTTTTTCTCTATAATCTGTGATTTCCTTACATTTATACGTAATCACATTATCATGTTTATTTGCACAATGTATGAAAACCATCGAATTCATAAACGTCTTTACTTCTTTCAGAAAGCAATTTATATCTGAAAGTAGGAACGTGGTTAGAATTTAAATGAACGAGAACGTCTAATAAAAGAATCCTCTAATGTCGGCGACGTTCATTCAATACTAATTAAGTTAAAAACGTAGGTCTTTTCTTAGATTTTGACTTATTTTTAAAATTTAGGGGCATGCAAAAATTAATGTTAAGTCCATGGACGTGGTCGTTATGTTATAAAAATATAAATGTTAACAACCTCGTTTTCGGTGTACTAAAATGCATGGGTATTGGTAAAAATTAAAGGATACGGTTGTTGTTTTGACTATTATTATGAA